ACCAGAACCAGGACCAGACTTCCAGGTTTTGTTTTCCAGGTGTTCTCCAGGTTTTCTCCAGGTATATCTACCCAGTGTTGCTCACCTGTGCGGTGGTGCAGCGGGCTGTGTGTGACGTCGCTGTGGCTGGTCAGCGCCGTCTGCAGCGCCGTCGCCTCGGAGATGAGCTGGAAGGTGATGTTCCGGTAGCACACGCCTGGCAGCCAGTGCTTGAACACCGTCTTCCCTTTGTAGAAATCTGGAGACGAACAGAAGAGACGACCTGGAGAAAGCGGTTCACCTTCAACCCACCTGATTCCTGTCATTCCTCTGGAATCAGGAATAATCTGAAGGGGAAACTGGGATCATCCAGTCGGTGGGAACATTTTCCCACCGACTGGATGAGGAAGAACTGGGCTTCCAGGAAACACCGGCGTCTGAGTTCATGTCTGGAGTTCCTCAGAAGCGACTGTTTGGACTCTAAGGAGATTATCATGTCATATTATTGGCGGGGATTACACTGCCACCATCAGGTCAGGTGAGAAACTACAGCCTGGTATTTATGTTTCCAAGCAGACGGTGTTTCATCAGGTTTCAGTTTTCCTCACCTTTATAGAGCATGGAGCGGCGCTCCAGACCCTCCGTGTAGCTGATGTTGACCCGGCTGAACACGGTTCTGACTGGTGGGTCAATGTCGAACACAACGCCGGTTTCTGGAGCCTCTCTGTAGTCAGATATGTACGCGGCACGGACAGGAAGTGGCTCTGCGGAAACAGGAAGATGGAAACATAAAATGTTTTCTGAGGAATTAAAAAAAAAATGTAATGTAATGTAAATGTAAAAAGTTTTCGCTCCACTTCTAGCAACACACAGTGTAATGTTGATAATATCTGAAGGTCTGGTATATCAGGTGGTGATATTTCATAAACAGGAGCAGCTGGAATGCTCCTTACTTGTGAGAACGGGAACGCTCTTCATGGGTCGGGACCAGCTCCGTCCCAGGTTGACCAGTAGCCCCACCGTGTAGCAGAGGCCGTGGAATGACGCGTTGAACAGCAGCGGCTCGCTGGTGTTAATGAACGGAACCAGAACCAGCCGAGGTTCTCCTGAGATCTGCACCGCATACGCTGTGACGTTGTCCTGAAGGTCGCCGCGCTCCAGCGCCGCCACAATCAGTCCCTCCTGATTGGTGGACACCTGAAACGCCGAGGAAACCTGGAAAACACAGCCGCGTGTCATCAGCTGACAGGAAGTTCAACCAGGTTCAGACAGGAAGGCAGAAAAACGATGGAACCTCACGACCCATCAGCCTTTCTGGAGGTCTCAGAAATAAAACTACAAAACAGCGGTAACCAGGAGCGAGCCCTGAGGAACTCCACTCTGAAGCAGCGCTGCAGGTGAAACACTGTCACCTAAAACTTCTGATCCGGTTCTTGTTTGTCCAGTTTTCCTTCCTGTGACGGTTAAAAATGGCCGAAAGTCTTTCCTGGTTTTACCCAACAATTCTTTGACTGGATCGTTTTCTGACTCCGAACCGATTCCTTTCTGGAAAGGGTTCCTCAAACAGAAAACATTTGATTCACTGAACAGGTCCCTATAAAAATTCAGTAAAAAATGAAATTAGTTTTATGTCAACATCAAACAGTCTGCAATGTTTCAGATCATCAGTTGGATCCTAGCAGGTCTGAGAAGAAGAATCAGAAACCTCGGTCCGGTCGGATCGCCTCTCCCGGTCCAGTCCGGTCCGGTCGCGGTGATTACTTCCTGCCAGGTTGCCTCTGAGCAGCCGGTGAAAACATTCTGACCTTGGGATGTCCGGACTGTCGACCGGATCCTGCTGGGACCGGTTCCACCCAAAACCTAGTTGTCTGAACAGATTCTTCTTTCTGAACAGACTCCTGAACATTTTAATTCCCAAACTGAAAACCCGACGATTCTGCTGAAACCATCCGGACTCGAACCCTTAGATACTGAACCGGATCAGAGCTGCTTCTAACATGACTTATGAAACATTTCTGCAGGTTCTGACCCAGTTTCCTGGATCTCTCTGGGTTTTACTGGTCTTACTGGGACCAGCATGTGACCCAACATAACCACAGCTGGTTTCCCTGAACAACATCTGCTTGCTGCCTCCGGCCCGGGTTCTGACCCGGTTCTGTCTCTAACCCAGATTCCTCATCCCAGAACCAGTAATGTGCCGGTTCTGATCCAGTTCTGGTTCCGGTCAGCAGGAAACGCGTCTGTTCATGACTGCTGGCCGTTACCATGGCAACAGGGATGAAGTGGTGACGGGTGGGGGTCGGAGGGGTCATTATGTCTGGTTCCAGGGTCACCATGGCAACGGAGCCGAAGCTGAAAGCTGACCGTTCTTCCATCGACCGGTCCAGTTCTGATCTGAGAAGGAGGAGCCAACCAGATCCAACAGAACCAGTCCAGAACCATTTCTGTTGGTCCATTCTTTGGGTTCAGCGAACAGAAAGTGGAGAACAGTTCTGCTCTCTGATTGGTCACACCCATTCGGCTGAATGGACCCAGCTGGAGGGGGGTCGGGTCAAAGGTCAGCCCCTCCCAGCAGCTGCCAACATTGTGATGTAAACACAATGGCTGAGGAAGAACCCGGTACCAGGAGGACAGGAGGTCCAAACGGGCACACCGGACCCGACTTCATGCGACTCTTCATGAAGCTTCCAGAACCAGAACCAGAACCACCAGCTGGAGTTCTCCTGACTTCTCCAGCATAGGTCCAATTGATGGGATGCACCAGAACCCAGCTGATTTCCTCTGACCCGGTTCTGAAACCGGTCACTATTCAGAACCAGGGAGATATGTTTCCTGCCAACACCCTGAATAAACTCTGTTAACCCGGTTCTGACCCGATCTGTGAGCATCTCAGCACAGTTCTACACAGAGGAGCAGAACCCGACAGAACCAGGCTGACCCCGGCAGCAGAACCAGTTGGACCCGTCCGGCTCCGTGTTGGTTCTGCTCCAGAGACCCTCCTGAAGGCCCAGAACCGCAGCAGAACTAGGCCTCCAGCAGAGCAGCTGTTGGCTGCGCCCCCTGCTGGACAGAATGGAGACTCGCTGTGCTGGTTGCTGGGGGACCAGAGGTGTTGCCTAGCAACCAGCAGGCCAGATCAGGTTGGTTTATACTCCAAGTTCAGCGTAATGAACCAACAGGAAGAGTTTGTTAAATAAACGTTGATGCAGTTTTTTCCAATCGAGACCAAAATAATCAAACTTTCATTTATAGATTTAGATTTATGACAACCATAATCTGTGTCATTGAAATAGTTTGGACTCCGCGTGCCTACAGTCCTTAAGTAGACCCGTTCATTTCGGGTCGGTTCTCCTCCACGCCCCCAGCACTCTGACACCCTGGGCAAAGAGCCGGATCACCCATTACTACAACTGAAGCGTCCTCATGTTTACCACTCAGAACCAAATCAGATCCGACACGAACATAACCAGATCCAGACTCCAGCTGAGCTACAGGAAGTCCAGACATGTTCGGTTCTGGAAGAGGTTCGATGGGCCAGACAACCCGACCCAACTCAGACGGTTCTGATACCGGACCAGAAATATGAAACCGGACTGTCAGATAAGAGTGAGCCTGGAGGGTGTCTGCAGATCACCATCAGAACCAGAACCAGTTCTGGTCTCACCATCACTCAGCAGCAGGAGAACTTGGAGCCGGACAGAGAGATTCTGTGTGTGTGTGTGTGTGTGTATCTCTGTGTCTCTCTGTGTGTGTGTCTGTTTCTCTGTGTCTCTCTGTGTGTGTGTCTCTGTTTCTCTGTGTGTGTGTCTTTGTGTTTCTGTGTGTGTGTGTGTGTGTGTGTGTGTGTGTGTGTGTGTGTGTGTGTGTGTGATCCTCAGTGATGCTGACAGACATCCCTCCTCAGTCAGGCTGCAGCCGACTGACCCACTTTCTGCGGGACAACGAGCTGCTGGCTGCCCGCACGGGACCATCTACCCCCCTTCACCTCACGCACTGAAACACGCACACGCTCAACACGCACGTTTCATTCAGCCCCGTCGCCTCCAGTGAGGCCGGTTCTGAACAAAGCCCCCGAACCGCGCGGTCCGTTCGGGCCTTGACCCACCTGGACCGAGCCGAGCAGCAGGGCGGCGAGCAGCGGCGGAGGCAGCATGCTGGCTGCCGGCTCTGAGCGCTCTCAGCCCGGCCTGGAGCCTCCCGTTCCGCTGCGCATCCAAACAATGGCGCTGTTTCTGCCGCAGCGGCCGACGCTCCGCGACGCTCTGCACAGATTCGATCTGCGGGAGATTTCTGCTGCGCACCTCTAATTGCGCATCTTTAGCCGAACCGGACCTGCTGGGAGCCAGGGAAAACGGGCCGGGCTGCGGGGTCCATGCCGCGGCCCGGAGACGAGCAGGAGGTCGGTGTCGGTCAGCCGGGATGAAGCTGCTGCTGCGCGGCGTCGCCCCGCCCTGCGCTGCGCAGAGCTCCGGAGGCTGCACGGAGACGCGCACCTCCTCCTCCTCTTCATCAGACACACGAACCACTGACAGGGAAACATGTTCTGACCTAGTTATCTGGTTCGGAACCAAATCGATTAAAAGTCCGCAGCACTGTAAAATGTTCAGAGAGAAATAATCACAGAGAAGCTGTTGAATTAGTTTTACAGTAAACTGAAATTCAAACACTTTAAAACATCCTGCACATCAGGAGCCGTTTGTTCCAAATAAACACAAATACTTTATTTTATGGAGTCTGACACAGGGGGGAATAAAAGTCCATCATTAATTCACAAATGTCACCGTTTCAGACTAAATTAAAGTTTGAAACTCTTCAAAACTAAATATTTAGTTTGGAAGCTATATACTTATTTGTTACCTAAATAGTTACCGACCTTTAGTAAGCACGCTAGCCTGCTAACAAAATATTTAGCTTGTTAGCTAAATGTTTGGCTAGCAAGCGGAATATTTAGTTCGGAAGAACATATTGTCTGGAACATACATTTAAGTCTGGAAAATAAACTTTACTAACCAAATATTTATCTACCAACTTATGTATTTAGTTAGCACGCTAGCTTGTTAGATAAATGTTTGGTCAGCAAACTATCTATTTTGGAAAATAAAGACACATTTTTAGTTTGGGAATTAAACTTTACGAACTAAATATTTAACTATAAATTAAATATTTAGTCTGCCAAGTAATTATTTAGCTATGAACCTAAATATTTAGGTAGCATGCTAGTCTGTTAGCTTAAATATTTGGTTAGCAGGCTAAATATTTAGTTTGGAATATAAATACTTTAGAATTAATTATTTTTGTTAAACTAAACATTCAGTTATTTATTTCAGACTAGGTAACTTTATAAAGTTAAACTTCTACCTGTTGCTCAAGCTGTAAAACCTGAAGCATGTCTCCATTGGTCAGAAATGTTTCAGGTGTTTGTGTTGGATCATTCTCAGTTCTTATCCAGGACCTCAGAACCTGACCCGACGGCTGGAGGTCCATCATTCATGACGTCACACAAAGGAGCAGAGCCAACCAATCAGAAGCTTCCGGAGCCCAACAACCTGCCCGTGTTTTTAGGGACAGTGTCTGATCCACCTGGACACGAAGCGGCGGAGTGAAGCTGAAAACACCTGAAGATTTGACTCGCCTCAATAAATGAGCCGCTGCAGGGCGTGGGCTCACCAGCAGGGGGCGGAGGAGTTCCACTCAGACATCAGAATCACAAACACATGAGAAATGAGAAATGATAAAAGGACCGCTGCTTGACGTGAATGATCCGGATCCAGCTGACCGCAGCTACCTTCTTCAGAGCCTGCCGGTCCAAGAAGGACGTGAGGCGGTAAAGACATGCGGTTCTGGTTCTGACGAGACCCGGTCCACTCTTAATGTTTTAATCTTTCCTGTTACATGTTTTAAAAGATTCATGAAACAACAGGTTAAAGCCATCTCTGCATGTCTGCACTGCTCCCTACTGGTGAGAACACCACACTGCTCCCAGTCCAGAACCAGTCCGGAACCTGCTGGGATTGTTCTGGCAGATTCAAGCCACGTTGTTCCTTCTGATCCAGTAAATTTAAAAATGTTTTATTAAAGTTACTCTGTTTGGTTCCGAACTGTTTCAGTTATCAAATAAAGTAAAATGATACATTTGTATCAGTTGTATCTTTTATTCTGTTTCTGCCGCTGTAGAAACAGAATTAGTGGCTCTGCGCACCATTAACTGCGCATCGTCAACCAAACCGAACCTGCTGAGACCGAGGGCAGCGGGCCCAGCAGGATGTCCTGCTGACTCTGTTTCTCTGAAATCCTTATATCCTAAAGATTTTCTTCAAACTCAAAATCTTTCAAAAACATTTTGTCGTAGATTTTTTTAAATCATTGAACTTTTTACATTTAAAAACTGTTTTTTGTTTTATTTTCTAAAAATTATCTCCAAATTCTGAAAATAATGTCCGTTTTTCTGAAATGTCAAATTAAAAAACATTTTTCTGATTCACACAAACTGATATTTTGTTTTCATAGTAAATGTTTATTTTCTGCAGAAAATTCAGATTTAAATTAACTTTTCAGCTGTTTTCGCCCGATCAGAACCAGAAGGTTTGGCCGAACCGCCAGTCCACCTCAAGTCCCGCAGAAAGCGGAGGCTCTTCCGGTCCACGTGCTGCTCTGTTTTTAGTCACAGAGCTCCGGTTCCTGAAGGAGTCCAATGGGTTTTCCAGAATCCAATCTGGGTTCCAGGAACAACTGGGAAAAATGAGAGAAAACACGAGGAGGAAGAAAAACATCCTGATAGTTTTTCCCTGCAGGTTCCAGAACCGGCGGTGGTTCTGGTGCAGCTCGTTCCGTCTCTGGATACAGAACTCTCCTCCAGTTCCGGATATGGTTCATTTATGACTGAAATAATAAATCTAATTTTGAGGATAAAAATAATTTTTTATTGATATTAAACTTTAAGTGTCTTCTTTTTTGTCTGCTTTTGGATTCCAGATAAAACGGAACCGGTTCTTTTCCTGGTTCCAGAATCAAAAAGTTCTGACTTTGGTTTCATTATTCAGTCAGTTCATGGACAAAGTGTTCATCTCTTAGTTATGGACCGGCCTGGTCTGGGCCAGCAGAACCCGGTCCAGTCTCATGCCAGCACGGCCTCCTCCAGGACAGACGGGTGGAGGTCCGCGGCCTCCAGGCTGCGCAGCAGCCGTCCCACCGTGGCCCGCCTCCCGCCAGCCCGCCTCCACAGAACTAGGCCGTTCAGAACCGCCGCCCCGGTGTTCAGGCTGTGGTCGGACCGGCACCGGTACACTGCTTCGGCGGACAAGCCCAGGTCCAACAGAACCGGCTCCCACTCGGCACCGAGTCTCTGCGCCAACCGGGACAGCTCCCGGTCCGAAGGAACCCTCTGCAGAACCGAGTCCGGAATCCGGGAGCCGTCGCCATGGTAACGGGCCGTAACCGCAGCGCCGCCTGGGAAACATGGAGCCCGGTCCAGTTTATTACAGAACTTTTCAGCAACACGGAAGTCAAAGAGCTTTACGTCATAAACACATCAGTTAGAAAAATAAAAGCAATAAATCAAGTTCTCATGTTAAATTTAATTTTAAAAAGTTTCAGGAAAATAAAACTGGCGATTCAACTTATAAAATAGTTAATTTGTTACAAATCAAATTAAGGTTATTAAAGGAAATTTATTAAGTTATCATGTTAAAAAATGTAAATTAATTAAGTTTAAACTTTTTCTGAACAAATTAAGCCAGCATGCCTAGGTGGGACCCATGTGGGGGAAAGGAGGGCTGATATATGGGTCCCATATGGGGCCCACCTAGTTATGCTGGCAGGGAGGTTTTGTCTTCAGAACCAGTTTATAAAAACATTCTGAGCTTTGGTTCTGGCTCCTGTTGGTTTTTTTAAAGAGACATGGAAATGGACCGGAACCGGGCCCAGCAGAACCGTGAGGGGCGGTTCCAATCTCGTTATTTTTTTTCCCCAACTAAGGAAACATTTTCCAACAAAATGTTTGATCATGTTAGAGCCAAAGCGCCGCTGCAGCTGCAAAGGCAGCAGAGGTTCTGATTGGCTGCTGGAAACCAGGGGCGGCTCCTTCACCAATGCAGCCCTGGGCGACGAGCCCCCCCCAGTTCTCCATTGAACCTACATTTATAAAAGATCGACTTCATCTTCCGTCTTATCAGAACCATAAACTGATAAAAATCATGTCATTTGTTTTGATTTTAGATTATTTAAAAATGTTTATCCTGATATTATTCTCAGTTTCATAAAGTCAATGAAGCCGGGCTCAGGGCAGAATCGGGGCAGGTACAGAACCTGGAGCATTTTAAGTTAGAAACAACAACAAAAACAGCTTCTCGTTGGTTCATCACATTAACTCCCACCTGAAAGCCCGTTTTCGGCTAAGTTCGGCCCTGGCGGCCCGGTTCCGGCTGAGTTCTGCAGCTCCAGCAGCAGCCGGTCCCGGATCCAGCCGAAGTCCCGCAGAGCCTCCAGGAAGGCACAGAAGGCCCGCGGGCCGCGGTTCGGCAGGAGGTCCAGCAGCTTCAGGTTCTTTTGCCGGTTGGTCAGCTGACCCTCCACCTGCTCCACCTGGGCCTCCGTCAGAACTCCCTCCTGGTACAGGAACGGAACGATGGTGTCGCTGATCAGCAACTGGTCGGAAAGCTGCACCCGGAACTTCCGGAGCACAGCCCTGTGCTCCGGCTCCATCCGAACCTGTTGAACCGGGTCACTAACCCGAACCAACTGACTGGTTCATTCAGAACCAAAACCAGTCTCCATAAACTAGTCTCGACGGTACCCGCTGCTAACTTCTACAGCTCCGTCCGGTATATTATGCTCGATTGGAAACACGAAAGCGGAACCAAAGTTTTTCCAGCTCTCATAGAAAAATGGCTGTTCAAATAAATACCAATGTGATAAAAAAAAAATAAGTTTGTAATTTATTGTTCGATTATAACTTAATGTAGAATAGTATGAATTGACTAAATCGGCTTACATTCAATACAGAAACAATTTACATATGAAGTAAAATAAGGGAGTTCCAGACGGACTACTTTCTGCGGAGGGATCATTTTAGTAAATAAAGAAATAAAGTTCAATTTAGAAATGAAGAAATTTTGGAGGTAAAAAATGTGGCCGATCAAGACTACTTAAACTATTCAAATATGCTAAAAGTTCACCTAGGGCATACAAAAGCATAAAGGATTACATACATTTAATAATGTAAAGAAAATGTTTATGACTGCGCCACATTTTTAAGATTAAAACAGTATTCCTATTTATAGCTAATAACAGTTTATTAAACAGGTGAAAGGAAACTGATAAAATAATCAAGCATGTAAAAGTTTAGCTTCCAGCAGGCGGCGCTGCAGCTCCAGATGGGTGAAGATGTGAATAAAACACTTCAGAACCCAACAACACCTCATTCTTCATGACCGATGAACATTTCCATTTCCCCCGTAGGATCTGAAATATATTTTTAATTAACTTTAATTAAAAAGTTTATTTTATACTTGTCTGAAGGGAAAAAAATCTTAAGCAGACATTTACATTTAACTGTAAAATTCTGAAAATTTCACCTTGTTTCCAGAGGTGGAGACTCGCTTTTATCCAATTTGATCCAGGAACTGGGACAAGCTTAAACAAGACAGGAGGGCCAATCAGGAAAGACCAGCATGCTCTTTATTAGAAAACAAACTTAACAGGAAAAACTGATATTCAAGATCAAAATATCCCTCTGCTCTTTGGTTTAACTAAACTTTATCGTAAATAACCACTTTCAGTTTTTTTTACTGAATAAATGAACATTTGTCTGAATGACTGTTGGACATTTATCAAAGATTTCAAATCATCCTAATCTATCCCAGGCTGCTGGGCTTTTAAAATTTTCATTTGTTTAACCATTCAATCGTGGGACAAAGATAATATTTAAGAAATATTCCTGAACAGAGTCCATTTAGCTGTGTCACCATGACAACCATCCTGATCCCGACCAAACTGAACCTTGAGCCCGGAGCTGCTCTGGACCGGCTTGGATCTCAAATAAGCTCCAGGATGTTTTATGGTTTAATTCTCGGCAGGAACATCTGTGGTGTTCCTCAGGGCTGGATTCTGGCCCCTTCTTTTCTCAAGGCATGACTTAAGCAAATCATTGAATTTTTAAAAACACAGATCATTTTATCAGGAACTCTGAAACAACTCACCTCCATTCAGTCAATCAATTATAATTTTTAAATCTGCACACTTTAAAAATTCACAAACCAATAAAAATAAAAAAAAAACAGATAGCGAGCGACAGGAAGTCACTCCAACTTCATCTTCCTGCTTTAGTTGAAAACTTCTGATGGAAAAAACCTGAACTGTTTAGATCTCAAACCCTTTATGATGCTCCACGTTTATCAAACTGTTTTAATTTATCACTGATTTCTAATAACTTTCTGGAAGCTCAATAATTTAGCGGATTCAGGTTTTGCTTTCCAACTCTTTTCCAAACATTTTTCTCTGCTGCCTTCAGAAGGAGCTGAAGCTCCATTTTCAGATGAAACTCAAATTAAACTGTTTCTTTAGAAAAGAGGAAGCCAAATCCACCAGCAGGTCAGAGGTCAAGTAGGAACAGACAACAGCTCAATGGCTGATGTTTTCCTGTAATCTGATTGGCTCACAGCTCCGCAGTACTACAGGTTCAAAGTCTACCGAAGCCTGAAGGGGTCAAAGCAACCTCTCCGATGCTCGTCACCATCGACACGATTGTTTACGTCAATGAGAGCCAAACAGAGTCACGGCCAGCTGTTGGCCAGTTAGAGCGCTCCGTTCCTGCTGTTTATCGGGCCGCTTGGTCCTGGACGGAGTTCACCAAGTTCTGCCTCCCACAGACCTGCTTCCAGGGATCTGGCAGCACCGGCTTCAGGAAAAATACCCACACACTTCCTGCTTCCCTCACTTTAATGTTCTGATTCAGTTTTTATCAGAACCGGACTGAACCGGATCGAACAGAACCGTCTCTGTTTCAGAAATCCCCTGAGTTTCAATCAGAAAAGCTGAAGGAAATATAAAAAATATTCTCACTAATTTTAATGTCTATAAATGGAAATTTGATGGGGAAAAAAACAAGGAAATTAAAAATTAGATGAACTGGTTACCATGGTAACACATCAAAAATAACATCAAAGTCTGAAAATATTTTTCAATCTGGTTCTGGTGTGATCCTGAGCTGTACTGAAGAAATTCTGGAAAACAGGAATTGACACGGTGCCTTTAATCATGTGATCAGAGCTGCAGCCAATTAGCTTCCAGAAACATTTTTACAAGAAATCAAGTTGTGAGCAGAACGAAAGCAACTGTTTGGTTCTGCTGAGACCCGGTTTGCTGAGCCGTGGTTCTGTAGGAGCCAGAGACGATACTACTGGGCTCCACCAGAACCGGGCCTGGTACCGATCAGGAACGTTTCTCCAGAACATCAGAGGAACAGCAATAAATATTCTCAACAACCTGAGCAGGCGGTTCTGCTGCTCTGACCCGTCTCCGACCCATTTCTCTTTGGGTTTCAGTTGAAACAACCGATCCATCCGTCCGTCCGTCTTCCTGACGTCAGGAATCTGGAAACTTGTTCAGGAATTTCCAGAACAATCAGAGGAATTCTGCTTCCGTTACCATGGAGATGGGAGAAGAAGCCGGACCAGTTCCTGGCTTTGTGCAGAGACACACGGCCGGTCCGGACGCCATTGGACTCAGATGGGATGACCTCTGGACGACCTCTAGACGTTGTAGGTGTAGTCTGTCAGGTAGTCCTTCAACCGGTTGGGGATGGGCAGGTCCTGGACCTGCCGGGCCGACCGGTTGATGCTGATCCGACACAGGTGCTGCAGAGACGGGACGGCGGCGTACACGGGCCTGGTGAGGAGCAGCTGGATGGTGCCGTTGGGGCCCGGTGGCGCAGGCGCGGCGCGTCCGCCGGACCGGGACAGCTGGACGTAGTGCTCCACCAGGTGGACCACGCTGTCGAACTGCTTCAGCTTGGGCTTCACCAGAACCACCGAGTCCAGTTTGAACTTCCCGTGCCGGAACTCGATGCGCAGGTTGGTGGGGCCGGCGGACGTCATGGCGGAGATGGTGAACAGGAAGTCCCTCTGGGAGCTGTCCCGCAGCAGGAAGCTGCCCTCCGACGAGTCCTGAAGAATCTCTTTGGCCTCGTTGGCCGTCAGGCCGCCCCAGTACCAACCTGGCCCAATCAGAACCAGCAGAACATTTAGCACCTCCAATTCATTAAAACCACAACACGGACGATCAGCAGCTTCAGAACCGCCCGGACCGGTACCAACACTCAGTCTGGGTCAGCAGCACCACCACAGAACCTTTCTGGACCCAAACAGGGCCAGAACCAGCAACATTTACACTGAAATCACCAACAAGATGATGAGTCTAGTTACAGCCAGTGTACTTCATACTATAAAAATCATTTTTTATATTTTCTTCTTCTCTGGTGGATATTTTTCAAAATGGCCGCCACAGTTTTAATGTACAATATGTTTGCACTAAAATCAGTTGTAGTTAATAGCTACAGCTAAACAACAAGTTAAGTACGCTAATTACCAATTTGCTAAACAAGAAGCTTAGCAATGCATTGCTAAATCGCTAAACACATGAAAAATTAGCAGAAGCTAACACTAAGAAACTAAATATAAACAGGAGGAGTGACCACTAAACCACTATGCACTAAAAAATTAGCAAGTGCTAATGGTAAGCATACTAATATTTAGCAGAAGCTAATTCTAAACCACTAAACATATGAAAAATTTAGCTAAAACTAACACTAAACTGCAAAAACATAAAAAAATTAGCAGATGCTAATGCTAAACCACATGCAGAACATCTGGAGTTTATTCTGTGTTGGAAACATTCCCAACCAGAGCAGGAAGTTCTTCCTCCCACCTGTCTTCCTCAGCTCCTTCATGGCCGAGGCGACGCGGCTCTCGTCAGACTCCTCGGTCCGGGCGCCGTCGTCGGCTCCTCTGGCGTCCTCAATGGCTTCCTGGGATTCAGAGGACTGGCAGGTCATCGGACAGATCAGAAAACCGCCAAACAACCTGGAAAGGTTGGTGGGAAGTGAGCGGCTGCAGAAGAAGACAGAAACAGGCGATTTTGGTGCCATCAGGACTCTGGGAACACTCAGATTAAAAATGTCTTTTCTCTGGTCTGCAGCTGGGACATCTGAACAGAACCAGAACTTTGATCCATTTATCACATTTAGACATTTTCCTGGTTAATTCTGTTTTTAATGTTTCATCTGAGTGGCTAACAGGAGATCAGCTTCCAAAACTTTCCACTAGCCACCATCACAGAACTCCTCTGCCGAACTAGAGGAGTTCGACAGGTCAGCCATAGCCCCGCCCACATTTAATTAAATATTAATTTCCTGCCATTTAATTAATGAATAAATTATGCATTTATTTAATTTTGGCCCTTTAATCCCTCCGTAGCTCAGTAAGGCAACAGTCATCTTCAAATTAGAAGGTTGTGGGTTTAATTCCTGCTTTTTCCATTTCCTGTCAAGGTGACCATCAGTACCACTGGTTCAGTTTGGTACCATCAGTTCTGGCTGGTCAGTGTTCTCACAATGTCAGCCTGGATCAGTTGGGTTAGTTATTAGTTGCTGGTCTGCAGGTTCTGCATCAGCTGCTGCATTAATAATTAATAACTATATAATATTTATATTTAAACAGATTAATGTTTGCTAATTTCCAGATTAGCTGCTGGGAATCCTGCACAACAACAAACTCCAGATTCCCTGAAGTTCCACTTCCAGTCGTGGAATCCAATCTTTTTGGAAAACTGATCCTGGATCAGCTGGGAAA